CCCGGGTGTCCCCATCATGTACCTGGCGAAACACCGCTACACCATAGAGCGCCTGCCAGAGGCCACCGTCGGCGGCGCGCCCCGGTAGCCCCCGCCCCGCTCCTGCCCGTCACCCGCACGCGTCTGGCCGAGCGCAGGGGCCCGTGACGTCCTACGCCGTCCCTTTTAACCACACCTCCTTGTGTGATAGCCTATTTTCTCTGCCCCACGGCTCCAATTATGACCTCCGCGTCTTCTTTTCTTGTGTGTTTGTACCAACAACAACGACCGCTTTGCCCCGCTTTCGTGTTGCGCGGAGGCGGCCCGACCCTCATCCTGACCGCCGCCGAAAAGGCGGCTGTTTTACAGCGAGTCTCGCCTCGTCTCCCGTGCACCCGTGCACCCCGGCGATGAAAACAGCCTGCGATACGCGGCCCCGCTTTTCAACCCACGCCTGCCCCTGTTCAGGTGGCGCGCACCGCCACCTGCAGGGAGCAAACGCCCGACCGCACCCCTTCACGGCTGGCGGGTCCGCATGTCTTGGGGGACCCCACGCGCTGTCCTGCGTGGGGTCGCTTTGCAGAGCTAGACAACCAGCTACTGCGAGCGCTGCATTGCCGCCGCGCACGAGCACAACCTTATGGGGCTGCAGACAGCCAGCTGCTCACGCAGTCAAGTAAACAACGGCATCCTGCAGGAGCACGGTGGGGGCTATGGCAAGGTGCAGCAGTACAGCAGTACAAGGGGGCGTGCGTCGATGCATACCTGCACGCCAGCCCCAATGGCAATCATCGGTCAAGGCAGCAATGGGCGAAACAATCCCAGAGAAAACAATCCCAGAACCTCGAGCGAGAAGGCGGGCACCTACTGTGTGCCTGATGATTACTCGCAGCTGAGGTGGACAGGTCGCGCCGCGCATCTGTCGGCGGGAGAACAAAGCTGGCCGCGAATGTGGAGTAAACATTCGTGGTGCGGCAGTCCGGAAGGGATCCCTGAGTCCAAAGTCTGAGATGTGTCTCATGCCCACGGGATAATGCAATCACGTTGGCACTTGGCTGCTGCTGGGGCGGGGGTGCTTGTCAACTTCTTTGAGTGTTGGCTGCTCGCTAGACTTGGGCTTGATTGCTGGCCCTGCCCGCACGCACAAGCTACCGCGCACGACTGTGCAAGGCTGGACTCACGTTCTGAGGACCACATGCCCACTGCAAGACTTTTGAGGCCGTACGCCTCATGGTTTGACAGCAAACTTGAAGCCTTTGCCTATATTCAAGAAGATTGTAGGAAGTGACTGCCCAGGACAAGTTTGCAATAGTGATCATCATACATACTCAAGCTGCTTGTGTGTTGTCAAGCATCAAGCGTGCAGCCGCACGGTTATGTGGCGGGCTGGACGCAGGACAGCGGCAGGGCGTGCGAGTGTGTGTGTTTGTATGTGTGTTGGGGGGAGGTTGTTCATCAGGCCGGGCAACAAAGGACAAAAATGATGAAGGCAGTCCTGAAGGGGTGGCAGTTTGCTCACTTGAGCAGCTACAAGGGGCTGTGGCACGCTCACATCTGTGCAGCAGCGCACCAGCCAGCAAAACGCGCCAAGGCGTTGCGGCAGTAAACAGGGTGGTTACAAGCATGCCACACGTGCCTGAACAATGCCAGTCTTGACCTGGCACTACACAGCAGGTGACAACAGCAAATTCTGCATCGGCATTGTAAAGTGCTGCCTCCGCCTTTGTGGACAAGCGGCAGCCGTTCAGGCAGGAGAATCAAAAGCTGAGATGCTAGTGGGCATGCGCTGCCATCAGCTGCGCGCGCGGCGCCACACACCTGCGCACAGATGCGCGCGCGCGCACATGTGCACAACACATGACCACCGCATACACGCACAGACTGGTTGGGAGTTGGGGTGTGCTAGGCCCAGAGCGCGCGGGTGCATGAAGACGTGCTGATGTGCATCTGTGAGATGTGCTGTGACCACATGACAGGGCACTAGTCATTATGCACCAGCAACTTTACTTGCCAAAGGGTTCGAGAAGTCATGTGTGTGAGGGGCCGAGCCGTGCCAAGGTGCATCCGCCAAAAAGATGACAGGGCACAAGTCAACGTGCGGCTTTACTTGTGACCGGGCCATTTGGGGACCTTGATACCTGTCGTCTGCTTGATAATAGTCGCGCTGTTGGCAATGCACGTGGGGGGAGAGCAGCGCAGGTAGGACCCACTCTTGCAGGTGTAGGTCCTGCAAACACCGTAGTCGCAACACGTGCCGAGCAGCTTGCGGCTGGCGCCGCCCCCTTCGTAGGGGTTGGCTGGAGTGCTCAGGCCCGAGGTGTGGATATTGAGGGGGGTGTCGTGCGCGGCGCTGGGGATGACCCACAGCACCAGCATGATGGCAGCCACAGCCAGGACTGCGTGACGGGCGTTGACAGCGAAACTGGAGGACCTGCGGCCATGGCATCACGAGGAAGCCACGAGGAAGGGTGATGGCAGGGCGGGTGACAGGCGGGTGACCAGCACTGCGGCTGCAGTCTGACGCAAGGGCAAGGGACTGCCGTATGCAGCTCCATGCAGTGTGCGGATGTAGAGGGGGGGTGTCAGGCCCGCCCCTCCTTGCTGACTGCATGCGGGACTGGCCTGGGCGTGGCTGCCTGCCGACTCAGCAAGCTGCTGCGGGAGCCCGGTTGCAGGCCAGCGCCAACCCTCTCCCAGCAAGCGCCACACCTCATCGTGTACAGGAGCACTTAGGCTGCAGGTGTCAGGTGTCTGGGTTGGGAGGGTGGCTCGCAGGGGCGCAGGGCGCCAACTGGAGACCTCAGGTGACCAGGCGTCGGCAGGCAGGATATGAACAATAGAAATAGCCTTGGAAGCTAGCAACGGATCCTGATCAACATCAGTGAAGCCAGATTTATTCATTTCGGGCCAGGAAGTCCGCCACGCAGGTCGCCAGCAGATCCCACACACAATCACGAACGAGGTGACACGGAAGGCTGACCAGGCGGAGCAAGGGGGCGGGAAACAGGCTGCTAAAACACGAATAAGCGGATCCTTCATAGGCAGGGTGGGGGCTGGGGCATGGCACTGCGGTACATCAGTCAAAGGGCCAGGGACCACCCGCACGCCAGCCCCAGCCGCACCCATCAAGCACGAAAGCGACGATAAAAAGTTATTCAAGTGAATTGCAAGGGCAAGATAGCTACCCTGTGTGGCCGGGCCATACCCTCTCAGGGCGGCATGCGACCGTGATGCTGACAGCTGGCCGGTGGGCCTGCCTGCAGGTGACCGACAGCTGAGGTGGACGCGTTGCGCCGCTCGCCTGTCGGTGGCAGCACCTTCCCGGCTGTATGTGCGCAATGTATGGCCACCGTACATACAGCAGATTCTCAGCCGAAAGTCCGAGGTGCTGCTCGTGCACATGACTTGCCAGGGGTAGGGTGGGTCGGTGCTGTCGTCAATCTAATGCGGCGGCGCTCACAGCGCGTCTTCCGAGACGCTTGAGGGGTCAGCGCGACCCCTTGTGCGCGCGGCAACCCAAGGCGGTGGGCAGTACACCTGAAATACCTCTGCGATCATGCACGCGCGGACTGCTGCGCGTGTGCAGTCGCGTGGGCATGCGATGGGAACATTTGGCCTCGAGAAGAGCCTCAGGCGGGGTTGACCTGGGGGTTGAGATGAATCTCATATGGCACAGGTCCGCGCCATCCCGTCATGCTGCTGAATGCTTATGGGGTGTGTGTGTGTGTGTGTGTGTCACAGAATCAGCCCTTGCCTATCCTGTGTGCATATGTGCAACACCAGGATCACCCATTTAAATTCTTCACCGGCTGCTGCCGCCTGCCTGGGAGGGGTGCTGTTTGAAATTTGATATTGGTTGCTCGCGGCAGCTGGGCTGTTCATTGCTGATCTGGTGGCCCATGAATGCACAACCTACCGCACACACCTGTGGGTCACTGGTCTGACGGCCACGTGCTCATCACTCGCAACATATCTTTGACTTGCTTGTTTGACGCTCTCAGTCAAGGGATCCATATCTCGCCTTCGATTTGAGATGTGGTGGGTGAACTGATGGGGTCAGACCGAGGGTCAGCGAGGAACAGCAGTCAACAGTCACGTGAGGTACAAGCATCAATCGTAGCGGCATCAATGGCACGATAGCCACAGCCCCCTGGTAGTGCTGCTCCGCTGATAATCTACAGAACTGCGCGAACGTCCTACCCTCTGCGTTGTCCAAGTGATCCAAATGGCACACGATGGCCTCATTTAAAGTCAACAGCAGCAGTGCCCCGGCCTGGCCCAGGATGGATCTGGACAGAAATCCTGGAGAGTGCCCCAAATCCCCCTGCGCGGCCGCGCCTTGAGCCCCCTATCTCGCATTGTACAGCGACGCCTGCTGCTGATGCCTGCGTATTGGGGACGCCGTCCCTATGAGAACTTTGGCTGCCAACCAGCTCATGGATGCTCTGCCACATGCTTCTTTACGACTACGTATCAAGCGGCGGGCGGGGCACATCTATACTGTCTGCCAGCACGAGCGCTAGCCACATCCACGCGCGCATCCTCTTGCAGCGCGCTCCTGGCCACAATCCAACCTGCGAATGCAAACAACAGCACTTGGCAGATCACGTCCGGCGCCAAGCTGAACCCCTGCGCCTCTCAATGGAGGGTTCCTAAATTCCAGGCGACTTCCCCGCAAACCACGGCTCCAGGCGCCGGTCGGGCCTTCAGCACGCTACAGCCGCTGCAGCAGGGCGGCGTTGCCCCGTAGCATCTCCCCCACAGCCCGCTCCCGTTCGGCCGCCGCAGCCGCCATCGACCAGCCCAGGTCAGCGCTGCCCATGACCTGCTGCCCGCGGCTGCCGCCTCCGCCGCCTCTGCTGCTGCCGCCTGCACGCAGCCACCAGCCGCCGCCGGCCGCGGCGTCTCCATCTCCCGCCGGCAAATCTCGGAGCTGCTCCGGCTGCTGCTGCTGCTGCTGCTGCTGCTGCTGCTGCTGCTGCCAGCTCATGTGCTCCCCAGCCCCTCGCGTCTCCACCCCCAGCTCCCGCCGCGGCGTCGGCCAGACCACCAAACGCGTGTGCGCCGCGCCGCCGTCCCCTCCGCCGGCTGCCTCTCCAGGGGCAAGAGCACCCGCCCACGGCTCCTCCTCATCACCGCCGCCGCCGCCATTGCTCCAGCGTCCGCAGCTGGTGCTTGCCCAGCCGTCGGGCGCCATCGAGCCCCACGCCTGCCGCCCGCTCTCGCACAGCACACCGCGTCTTGCACCGTCGTCCCCACCACCACCCCCGGTCCCGCCCGTCCATCCCGCCGCGGGCCTGCCGCCGCTGCCGTTGGGGGTCCCCTGGGCTGCCGAATGCAGGGGCCGCCGGGCGGCGGCCTCCGCTGCCGCCTCGTCCTCTGCTGCTGCTGCTGCTGCTGCCGCTGCTGCTGCTGCTGCTGCTGGCAGGCGGGCGCCACTGCTGTACTCGCAGATCGCGGCCATCCGCGCGGTCGTCTGCAGCTCCGCCTGCGAAAAGCCGCGGCAAGCGGGAGCAAAAGGGCGGATTGGAAGAGGGCGCAGCTTGGGGCCGGGGACGCCTGGGGGCGCCGCGCGGCGTTTTTCACTGGGCTTGGGCTGGAAAGAGAGGGGCGGCTGCCAAGAGCAAGCATCGCCTGCACCCTAGAGTTGTACTTCCCTGCTCTCTCTGTAGCCACAGTTTGAAGTCACGAAGACCAGCACGGCCCTTGACCCTCTACGCGTGGGCCCCGCGACCGAGGAGGCGGCGGCTTGCTCGCACCTGCACCAGCGCCTGCGCCCGCAGCAGCGCCCCCCGCTCCGCCGGGCTCCTGAACGCCCACGCCGCGAATTCGAGCGCCGCCCCCACGTATTCCGCCACCCCCACTGGGTTGGCCGCCGCGACGACCGCCGAAGAGCCGTCCCTCAGTGTCAGCCGGAACTCATTGTGGGCCCCGTCCAACCGAAGGATTGTTCTGTCATCAAACAGCACGCGCACGCGGCCGTCCGCGTGGGCACGGAAGCTGCCCAGCCCCTCCACCCGCTGGTCTTCCAGGATCTCCTCGGAGATCTGCGGGACCTCGTCTGCATGGTTCTGGTCGGGACCCGGATGGGATATGCGCCAGGGGCCGGGGGCCGCCGCCAATGGCGCGGCCTTGCCGCCGCTACCCGTGCGGGGCCGCCAGCGCGGAAAGCTGGGCAGCAGCGTATGGGCGCCCGCGCCGATGCTTGGCACCGCGCCGGCCGCGGCCGCTGCCGCCCGCTGTGCGGTTGCTGCCATCGCTGCCCTGTGAGTGTTGTCGATGGGTGATCAGCTTAGAATCAGAATCAGAATTGTCACAGCGTCTCGCGGTCGCCTGCACCATCATCGCCGGACATAATTGCCCAACGGCCCCTGCTTGCCGCTCCATCATCACCGCTCCAGCATGACCGCAAACGCGAGTGGCAAGACATGTGCGTTCACCCACATAAACAAAACACCCACATTTGCATATGTGCCCGCCCAAGCTCACGTACCCACATGCACACAAACCCAAAGAGACAATATACACACGTACGCACAAACACACACACACACACACACACACGCACTCACACACACACACAGAAAGAGGGAGAGGTACCGACATATGTGCGTCCAAAGCAAACACACACATGTGCTGAAACGCTCATGAACACCCACGAAACCCACACCTACCCGCACAAACACACATGCACTGCATCACGAAACAAACCCACCTGTACTTGAGCGCCCGCGCCGCCACCGGCCCCACCGCCAGCCGCCGCCCAGTGGCCATCGAAACAACAACATCCGGCAGCGCCCCTGCAGCATACACCCGGGGATCTGCCTGCAGGGGTGCGTGCAGGCGTGTGTGTGCACATGTTTGTGTGTGTGTGTGTGTTTGTGAGCATGCGTGTGGGTTGTGGGTGGCAAATACGTGGCGAGTCAGAGTAAGGATGAGAGAATGGTGGGTGGCGTGTGGGCAGGGGGGGAGGGTGGTGCGGCGAACACCGGGCGCCCCGCGGCAGAACCCAGGGCGCTGAAGGGGGGCCATGAGGCACCAGTGGTCGCCCTGGGGCCGCACCTCCCCCGGCAGTGGGTGCTCCACGAAGCCGGGCTCCTGCGTAGTCATCACTGAGTCATCCTCGTGCAGCCAGGCCTCGACCTCACCCGCGTCCTGCGCGGACGGGCGACGACTCGACTGATGATACTTGAAATTCTCCAAAAATCCAAATTCAGGACACTGTCAGCATCAGTAGTCTCGGCGACACCAGCAGCCTAAGGGGTGACTGCTGCTGGAGACGACCCCACCGCGGCTTGACCGGCTGCCCCGCGTCGGCGCCGCGGGCGCTGCGGCCGCTGCGGCGCCGGGGCTAGCATGCAAGGTTGCCTGCAGCCTCAGCCCTCAGCATGCGCCTCCGCCTCGGGCCAGAGAACAGCTGAGAGAGGGCCCGCCAAACGGGCCAACACTGAACCGGCGGACCCACTCCCCACCAAACCCCACTGCCCACACATGCCCTCCTCACCCCTCCCCACGCCCAGCCCCCACCTGCAGAAACAGGTAAGTGGCCTCCGGCGTCCACACCAGCGTCACTGCCAGGTCAGCAGGCAGCAGCGGCGACGCGTCCAGCCACCAGCTGCCCGCCGGGAAGCTGCCAAAGCATTCGGCCAGGCCCGCGGCCGCATCGGACGTGCCCCCCGCGGGGCCTCCCGGGACCTCCCTTCCTCGGCCGCCGCCGCCCCCGCCGCTGCTGCTGGCACTGCTGCCAGCGCTGCCGCCGCCGCGGCCTGCAGCACCAAACGCCGGCCATATCACTTCTGGCAGATCAGTCATCGCCTCTGTCGGCGCAAGCAGCTCCTCCTCTGAAAACGGCTCCTGATTGGTTGGGCTGCAATCGTATTCGTCGCCTCCCCTATCCGCGCCGCCGCTGCAGACGCCGCCATCGCTGCTGCACCGCGCCTCGCGGCGCGCCGCGCGTTCAAGGCCGTCCCCGCCGCCGCCGCCGGAACGCCCGCCGTCCGGCCGCTCCCTGCCGCTGCCGCGCCGTGGCTGATTGCCCTCCCCCGCGGCGCGCGCGACGGCGGTCGCGAGCGCGAGCGCGGGCGCCCAGCGCTCGGGGCAATGGCGGGTTGAGAACACCTGCGTCTGCCACACGTGCTCGTACTGCCCAGCGCCATGAACCGAGCCCAGCCGCGGCAGCAGCAGCGGGTAGCAGACCGCGAGCCGCGCGCGCGCGCCGCCGTCGAGCACGGCGCGCGCGGCGCCGCAGACGCTGCGCACGGCGACGCGGCCGCCGTCGAGAAGCTCAGCATAGCCGCCGTTCAAAGCGGCGCCGAAAGATGCCGGCCAGTAGACTCGTCGTATGGGGTAGCCGAGGGGGAACACATCGCCCTCCGCTGCGGCGCGCCGCGCGAGCGCGCGGCAGAACGCCGGGCGGTCGGCGTGTGTGTTGCGGAGCCGCAGCGCCTGCGCAAGCAGCGGCGCCGCGCGGCTGAGCGCGAACTCGCTGATCTGGCACGTGGGCGCCGGCGCGCCCGGCGGGGCGTGCGCGAAGGCCTCGCCGCCGGAGGACAGCAGCAACAGCGCGTTGTCGCCCCACAGCGTCTTGACGCGGCCGTCGGCGGTGACGCAGGCGAATTGCAGCTCGGCCTGCTGGGCGGTACTGGAAGGACCGACGGTCATCCTCAAATCACGGTGTTCGTGGTTCAGCAGCTCTTCATTCATCCTGATTGAGTTCAAAGCGCGCCCATGGTCGTGCCACGCGGTTGAGGGACAGCTCGTATTCGTTTGTAAGACCATATATTCCATATGTCCACGGGTACCGATACCACATGGCTGTTTCACGTGCTGCGGGACTGTCGCAGCTACCCACGGCCTTCTCCGTGACCTACAGTACAGAAGTGCGAGCCAGCGCCCCAACCTCATATGTATATGGTGATTTTACCAACATTAATCCCACCTACCGGTATATGCCGCGCACATGCACCTTGCCCTTGACACCAGCAACTGACCCACGACCTGTGAACGCAGCAGTGCGCGTTGTTACCCGCCCGCAAACTGGAGAGCATAAATCTCACATTGGGCCGTTGGGTGGTAGTTTATGTTACATTGGGGGGCAACCGACGGGGGACTCTCCAGGCCGTGTGGGAGCCGGCGGTAGGGGTCCTGCCGTTGTCATTGGTGGTGGTGGTGGTCGTCGTGATTGGGGGGAGTTCGCCAGGACAAAGCGATGTTGATGGGCAGACGGCATGGGTGTTCGACATCAGCCAGTCTGGCTGTGATTTTCCGTGGTCACTTCTTGACGTTGGAAACCTTTGGTGTAAAGTCGACAAGTTTCCCTCCGAGGTTGTGTCTATGCCACAAACTGTGGCTGGTGTGCGCGGGGTTTGCTTTCCAGAGAGTTTTGATAGGGGAGGGCTCCCTTTTCCGTGTCAAAGGCACTTTGACCACGGCGTGTGCACTGCGAGCAGTGTACACTACAGGGCTGGGGCCAGCGACGCAATGGCAGGGTGGATGTTACTTGGCATGATTAAGTCGCAACCCGTCTGCGCCACAGCCCGCTCAAAGCCGCCCGACCCCACCGCAACTTGGCTGCACGACGCGCATGCACCTTGCCCTTGGACGTCCAGGGTGTCATTTGTTCGGAAGTCTGCACGTTTCGGGTGAGTCTCCGCGCCTCTTTTCACCCGCAAATAACTTTGTCACCAACCAGGCTTGCTCGCACGCTCTCTGTCAAGCCGCACCCCTATAGCCCATCACACCCAACCGCCACAAACCTCCGGGTGATGTGGGTGTTTTGGCGCGTATGATTATTGGGCGGGAAGTGGGGATGGTTTCGCGTATGCTTGTGTTGTTGAGGGGCTTGTAGATGTACATACGGTGTGTGTGCGCACGTCACTCCCCGCACATGTGAGGCAGGTGGGCACCAGGGCGGAACTGGCCAAGTCACGATGGCATTGGACAAAACCCACAGCAAACGGCATGGACAACGATGACAGCAACCATATCAATCATGATTCTCCTAAGCACATGTACAAGGGACTTGACGTCGCATCCAAGGCTTGTGAGGGGGCGTCACATGCTCGGCAACCTCACGGGCGGTTCGAGTGCGACGCTCAGTGTACTTAGGCGTCCCGCGTGCCGGGGCGTTTCCGCAGAAACATTTGATTACGAAGACCACTGCCATGCGTGGTGCTGAGGTGTAGCACCGCATTGATGCTGAGCCAGCCTCTGCTCGCTGGTGGCGAAACGAGGAGGACGAGCCTGGACAGGGGAGCGAGCTTGGACCTACCTCATGATCATCCGACGGTTTTCCTGCTGTCTCTGTCAGAACATGTGGACGACCGACCACCACCGGTGCGGAGTTGGCGCAGAAGCACATGACTTGGGTTTGAACTAACCCAATCGAATCTGTGATGGTGCCACTCAAGTCGCATCGGGATTATAACACAGTCACTGTGGCTGCTACGGGGACCAGCGTGCTGGGCTGGACCAGCTGGCCGTGCCGCAGCAGCGCAAGCCGTGCTGCACGCTGCATTCGCAACATTTTGGCTCGTCCAAGCAGGGAAAGGCCCCTTGTATGAACCATTAGGATCACAAATAATAAAACAAGTAGAGCTGCAGAGTATCAGCGGAGTGAAATACGCATGCACAGCGTGGCGGCGGCCGCCCGTGGCGGCCCTGCATTGGCCTGAAGGCCCCCAGGGGCACAAACATACACCACGTGGGCCCGCCCGTAGCTGCATTGCCACCACAATCCTGCAGGGCCTTTCAATCATAAATGTGTTACAGCAGGAAGCCCACGGGGTTGTTCTTCCTGCGAAGTCAAGCGTGTGGCCAGGCAGCTCGGGTGTGTGGGATGCCGCTCTGTGCTCCCACGTGGGACGGCCTGTTGGTGCAGGCCTATGTGGCGGATGTGCCTAGGCTGCTGCTCAATACAGTAGCCCTGTCAAAATTTCTGGGACGTTGTTGCATTGAATCAGCTGGGGTGTGGATGGACATGGCGGTCAGTTGTGACATCAGCGGTTTGCGGCGTTTGACCGCCGCAGAGGGCGTGATGCACCCCAAAAAACGCAGCTTGCCATCGAGCGGGGCTGCTGCGCCCCACAATGCACCAGAGTACAGCCAGGCAACACTTGTTCAAAGCGCGGCAGCATGCAGCTGCTGGGCGGGTTTACAAACATCGCGCACAGCAGCGGGCCGGCGCGCACCCTGATGGTCACGAGTCTCTTCTAGGGTGTACGACATCATTTAAACCTTACATGCGCATCACTAAAGGCGTCGCAGACGCCTGAAATCAGGACACCTTCGTATCGGTTGGCGCTGCACACCCGCAACCCGCTGCCTATGCACGGCACGCGTAGATCGCGGTAGAGGAGGTAGTTTAGGCGCGGGCAGCACCATGGCGTCCGCAGGCACGTTTGTCCTCGAGAACGAGGACGAGGCCCCTGAGCATAGGCGCACCACCGGCGGGCTTCTGGCCTTCGAGGTCGAGCAGCCTATAACGAATGATCTATTGCATGATAAAACTGGTCAGAGGCAGCAGCGCAGGCAGACGCTGCCGGACGCGTTTATAGGGGAGGACAAGGTGATGGACTGAGCAGGGTTCGCACCCACGGCCGGAATGAATAACTTAGCCGTATACCAACCATTGAGATTGTCACTCACCCGGGCATGCCTCCCTGTGCGGCCCGCTCGGGACACTGCGCGCAGTGTCCCACGCGGCGCGAACGCTGCTCGCTGCACCCAATGCCCTAGAGCATGCAGTCGCCCCACATCCGCTGCACCTCCGCCACGCCTTCCCGGCCACAGGAGATCCGCTCGTTCGAGGGGTTCTATGTGCCCTGGGAAAAGCAGCTGCTCTTCTACGCGCTGGGCGTGCTGAGCTTCGGCCTCGTGTTCCTGCTGGCGAAATGGAGCCCCAAGGTCCACATTGCACTCAACCTGCGGCGCTGCCCCCTGAAAGAGGCGACTTTCGTGCGCATCACGGTGAGCAGCCCCCGCCCCAAAAACCGGCAGCGGCGGCCCCGCCTTGCGAGCGATGTACTGCCCGCACAATGCTGCAAGCCCGCGCCTGTCTGAGCGGCGATCAAACCGTGCTGGGCTCGCGCTGCGGCTGCCACTGATTCATGTTGTGCAGCTGGACGACGGGCGGGTGGACGTCGAGCCGGTGGTGCAGATCACCGGCCCCACCGCCGCGGAGGGCGGCCCGACGGCGGGCTACGGCACCCACCACGTGGGCGGCGGCGCGGCCGTCGGCGGCGGCAGGGAGGAGAAGCACCGGCTGCTGGAATACCGCTGCAACAGGTGGGGGGCCGGGCTTGCCACTCACAGGGGTCAGTGAGTGGGTCGCCTTGTTCCGTCAGGCAGCGCGATGCGTTGCTGGTATGCACGAACAGGGGCAGCGGAGGTTTCAACCTGGCGAGCCTGAGGCGCCGAAAGCTGGGGCCGCCCGCCCCAGTGGAACTTGACGGGGGCGTGGCGGCGCGGAGCGAGGGGCGAGAGGCGGGCTTGCGGCAGCTGAGCGAGCCGCCCCTGGAGCGGCTCACCCGGGGAGGCAGTGCAGCAAGGTCAGGCCAAGAGGCTCACAGCCAGCCAAGCAGGCCGCAGAGGGCGACGATGCACGCAGCCGCGCGGCGCCGCAGCGGCTGCAGCCGGAGGCCGCCCCGCGCCGGCACACCCCTGCAGCCGCGTGGCGCCCGCCTGCCCCTGGACGCGTCGCGTAGTTGATGGCCGCCGCGCTGCGCCGCCTATTGATGCATCTCATGGCTACCCAGGTATTTTTACGTGGACGCGGTGGGCAAGTACGTGCCCGTGCCAGACGTGCCCAAGCGCTTCAACGAGCAGCTCGTTGCCAGCGCGACCCAGCTGGCGGCCACGCAGGTGCGCTCAAGCGACTGGGCCGCGCTGCCGTCGGACGGGGCTGCAGGAACGCCGCGGCCCGCGTGGGCCGCGCGGCTCGCTGAATGGTTTTCGCAGCGTCTCGATGGGGACGGCATGGGCGGCGTCGCGGTGTCCCAAAAGCAAGACGTGGCAGCCGCGCGGCAGCGGGAGCGGGGCGCGAGCGCAGCAGACGCCGGCTCCTGTCCCCAGGGGCGGCCGGCACCGCGCGCGCCGCCGGAGCGGGGTGCGCGCGTGGCAGCTGGCGGACGCCGGCGCCTCACCCCGCGTTGATCAACGCGCGCGCGCAGGACTGGCGGGTGCTGGAGGACGTTGCGGAGTGGAGCGTGGCGGACCGGCAGATGCGGTACGGCGCCAACGAGATGCGCATCCCGGTCAAGGGCGTGGCGCGGCTGGTTTTTGATGAGATGTGGCACCCTTTCTACGTCTTCCAGGTGGGGGGATGTTGGTTTTGGGGCGGGAGGCGTGCTTGGTGTGCATATGAAATGGCAGCACCGGTGTATGTGTGTGGGTGCGCACGCTTGTGTCGGGCGTGTGGGAGTGGGGGCGGTGGTGTTCCGACAGTTCAAGCAGTTGCGCGCCAGGGACAGCAGCGAGGACATGAGCTTGAGGCAGCTGGCGCAACCGCGATTGCATGCAGCAGCTGCAGGGCCCAACCGGTCGAATAGCCGCTCGTCCGCAGTTGCCTCCTGTGCCCACGCCGCGGCTCCCCCCCTCCGCAATCACATCCTCCCTTCCGACACCACAACAGTACTTCTCCATTGTTGTGTGGGTGGCCGGTGACAACTACTGGACCTACGCAATCTGCATTTTTGTGATCACCTGGTTCTCCATCATCACGTCGGCCGTGGAGGCGCACTCCAACATGAAGCGGCTGGCTGACATTGCGTACTTTGCGACAGAGGTGCGCGGGGGCGGGGCGCGGCGTGCTGCCAAGGTTGCGATGCGCATGTGTGTGTGTGTGTGTGTGTGTGTGTGTGTGTGTGAGCGTGAGTGCTAGGATGGGTGGGTAGTGGTACTTATGGGTGGGTAGGGATGGCAGTTGAATGGGTTACTGGGGATAGGGTTGGGGAAGGTTCTACGCGCGCAGATCCCTGCAACAAACCGTCGGACTGACATTTACGGGTGGCCAGGGAATGGAGACACAGGGGAGCAGGCCGGCCTGGCGCAGGGAACCCTGCCGCGCGCGCCCCGCGCCGCCGTCCTCGGCAACAGTGCGCGCCGCAGCGCGCTCCTCCCCTTCGCCGCGCCGCCGATATCGCGCCCGCCCGCCCCTCGCCCCTCGGCCCCCTAACACACGGGCAAACCTCAGGTGGAGGTCCTCCGCGGCGGCCGCTTTGTGAAGCTGCCCTCGCCGCAGCTCGTCCCGGGGGACGTGGTGGCGGTGGGGCCGGGCGTGATGTCGTGTGATGCGGTGCTGATCAGGGGTGAGGTCATCGTGGACGAGAACATGCTGACTGGGGAGTCGGTGCCTGTCAGAAAGGTGGGGGGCGCGTGGATGTGCATGGGTGTGTGTGTTCACGCGTGTGTGCGTTTCTGTTCGTTTGATAGTGAAAAAGTGTGTGTGTGAGAGAGAGAGAGGGGGGGGCGCTTGTGTGAGTGCTGGGTGCGTGCGTGCACGGCAGCACGTCTGCTGCCGTGTATTGGGGATGTCGCCGAGCAAGCAGCCCGCCGCGTGGCCACTGGAATCAGCTCAGGGCCTCCGGCACGCACGGCCCGCGGGCCTTCCCGCTCCTTGGCATCCGCCACCCCCCCCCCCCTGCTCCCCCATGCTCGACTCGTTTCGCCCCACCTTTTCACCCCACCATGTGTTTGACGAAAACGCCTGTTCACCGCAGGTGCCCTTCTCCCCCGCGTCGGACGGGCTGTCTTACGGCCCGGACCGCAGCTCCGCCTGCACCCTGTACGGCGGGACGGCAGTCGCACAGGCGCGCGCGCCCAAGGGGCAGGCGGCGCTGGCGATGGTCGTGAGGACGAGGTTTTACTCGGCCAAGGGGCAGCTGCTCAGGTGGGGGATGGCTGTCTTGCTGTTTGTGTAGTTTGCGTGTTGTGTGCTGTGATGCACGAGGGGGCGAGAGAAGGGAGAGAGAGCGAAGTGTGTGTGTGTGTGTGTGTGTGTGTGTGTGTGTGTAGCAAAGAAATTGTAGAGTCAGATTGGCGGAGCCCTCGTTGCCCCTCCTCAGGACCGCCCCCTCCAGATCACCAACAACC